GAGCCGTGGGGAGCGGCTGCGCGTTCCCTGCCGGCTTCTTCCCTCCTTCGCGCGCCCAGGAATTTGGACTTCGGCCCAGGCGGCAGCCGGGTCTGCTGTTCCTGCGCTGGTCGCTGGTCTGTCACACCTGCTGGAGAATGCTTGCGGGTTTTCTTTTTAAAAACATCTGAACCCAATGACTGACATTTTTGGATGAATATTAACAACTTTATAAAATGCGTTAGTTGATACCGTCTGTCCATCAGTGTCGGCAGGCGGCTTGGGCCCTTGGTTTTGTGGTCTGTAGCTCTCTGTGGGCCCCGTGGCCACAGCCATCTCCCTGGTCTCCGGAGAGCCACCCCTGTCCTGCCGGCCCCGGATCTTTCCCCATCTCTGTGGTGTTGTCATCAAAGGACACTTTGAAAATACTAATTTACCCAATAAACTTACTGAAGCAGCGAGCCCTCTGCACTCCCCAGTCCCCCTCGACAGCTGGTCAGGAGGCCCCAGATTGGCCCACTGGCCTGGAATCCTGGCCTGGTTACCTACGCAAGAGCTGGGAGTTAGGGGAGAGGTTTACAGGAGGAAGAGCTGGGAGGTAGGGGAGAGAGAGGTTTACAGGGGAAGAGCTGGGAGGTAGGGGAGAGGTTTACAGAGGAAGAGCTGGCCCAGGCGGCAGCCGGGTCTGCTGTTCCTGCGCTGGTCGCTGGTCTGTCACACCTGCTGGAGAATGCTTGCGGGTTTTCTTTTTAAAAACATCTGAACCCAATGACTGACATTTTTGGATGAATATTAACAACTTTATAAAATGCGTTAGTTGATACCGTCTGTCCATCAGTGTCGGCAGGCGGCTTGGGCCCTTGGTTTTGTGGTCATTGTAGGAAGTGAAGGTCTCACCTTTGGCCTGGGGGCCGGAGCCTCTGCCTAGACCAGTGCCCTCCCAGTTTGCATCCACTTTAGGGTCCGGGACCTGAAGCTCATCTGTTGACTCCCCGCTGGGTCCTTTAATTTTGTTAAAAGTCAGCGCTGTCAAGGCCTCACTTTCTAGAGGAGAGGCGGTCTTCAGGCGTCGCCTGTGGGTTTGCACACCTGTGCAGGCTCCGCTCCTGAGCACCGTTTCCTCAGCCATTATTTAGAAACAGCGACATACAAGAAGTTGCAAAACTAGCCCATAGAGTCCCTGGCCCAGCGCCCTGCAGTGGGGACACCCTGTGTGCCGGAAGTTGGCACCTGCCTGCGCCCTCCTGTTATCAGGAGGGGAGAGGTTTACAGAGGAAGAGCTGGGAGGTAGGGGAGAGGTTTACAGAGGAAGAGCTGGGAGGTAGGGGAGAGGTTTACAGAGGAAGAGCTGGGAGGTAGGGGAGAGGTTTACAGAGGAAGAGCTGGGAGGTAGGGGAGAGGTTTACAGAGGAAGAGCTGGGAGGTAGGGGAGAGGTTTACAGAGGAAGAGCTGGGAGGTAGGGGAGAGGTTTACAGAGGAAGAGCTGGGAGGTAGGGGAGAGGTTTACAGAGGAAGAGCTGGGAGGTAGGGGAGAGGTTTACAGAGGAAGAGCTGGGAGGTAGGGGAGAGGTTTACAGAGGAAGAGCTGGGAGGTAGGGGAGAGGTTTACAGAGGAAGAGCTGGGAGGTAGGGGAGAGGTTTACAGAGGAAGAGCTGGGAGGTAGGGGAGAGGTTTACAGAGGAAGAGCTGGGAGGTAGGGGAGAGGTTTACAGAGGAAGAGCTGGGAGGTAGGGGAGAGGTTTACAGAGGAAGAGCTGGGAGGTAGGGGAGAGGTTTACAGAGGAAGAGCTGGGAGGTAGGGGAGAGGTTTACAGGGGAAGAGCTGGGAGGTAGGGGAGAGGTTTACAGAGGAAGAGCTGGGAGGTAGGGGAGAGAGAGGTTTACAGGAGGAAGCGAGCAGTTGTTGATGCGGGTCCCTCACTGGCTGCGGGGGAAGCAAGGCACGCCCTCTGCTGTCCGAACATCCCAGCTGCCTCCCTCCCTGCCCAGCAGTGAGGTCAGCCCTTGGGGCACCCTCCTCTCTGCCGCTAGACTTGCTGGTGGTCCTATCCCTGTGCAAACAGCTGCCTCTGGCCATTTCAGGATGGGAGGGACATATGTGTGAATCGGGGCTATACCTCGGCTTGGAAAACAGTTTTGTTTTTGTTAATCCTCACCCCAGGATATTTTTCCATTGATTTTTAGAGAGAGTGGAAGAGAGGGGGAGAGACAGAGAGAAACATCGATGTGAGACACATTGATTAGTTGCCTCCCACACGCGTCCCGACCTGGGGATGGAACCTGCAACCATGGTACATGCCCTTGACTGGAATCAAACCAGAAACCCTTCAGTCTGCGGGCCAACGTTCTATCCACTGAGCCACACCGGCCAGGGCGGGAACACGCGTGGCTGCACGTGTCTAGGGCTCAGAGGGACTGTCAGACTCGGCGGGGAAGCAAGCCGCACTTCTTTCTTTCTAAAACTCTCTAAACTCTCTCTAGCCATCGACCAGTACAAGCCCCAGGATGCCACCACCAACCCGTCCCTGATCCTGGCTGCGGCGCAGATGCCCGCCTACCAGGAGCTGGTGGAGGAGGCCATCGCCTACGGCAAGAAGCTGGGCGGGTGAGTGCGGTCCCCGAGGCAGTGGTGGGGCTGAGGGGCCGCGGGGGCCCCGGCCGGTCCCCTCGTCTCCCTTGCCGGCT